GCCTCTAAATCAACACCATTCACCTTTCAGCTGTGACTGTTGGAAAAAAAGAGGCCATGTGATTCTCCAGGTGTTAAATCAGCTGCAGCACCCCCCCCCCCTGGATTATCCTGTAATCCCTGATGCTCATCAAGGCCAGAGGCCGTTTCATCACAATAGATCCTGAGCCAAGATGAAACTGGATGGAGCTGCAGACCTCACATCTCTGCAGGAGTCGACGTCTGTCMTCCATCAACCAAACATTTACTGTGTTTTTATTTTCCTGACATGAAACATGAGCAGCTGCCTGCAGGTCGGAGGAAACAAGTCCAAGTTCTTCAAACAAAAACACACCAGATTAAACCAAGCTTTAATAAAATGAAGCCAGCAAACGTTAGCAGCTGGATCTCTTGTGTTTTAACTGGTCTGTGAAATGACCTTTGACCCTTCTCAGGCTGAAGTTCAGGTGATTGTTGATGAGCTGCAGGAGCTGCAGGAAGCTGAAGGTTTGAGCCCAGGTCGTCTCAGGACCACGTGGAACAGCCTAAAGAAAAACAACAACGATGGAACTCCAGCTGATGTTTGACCTCTGCTCCAGACCAGAACCAACAGAGTCCATTTCAACWGTTTCCTGCTTTTATTTATAATCCTCAAACGTTTAATCAGGTCAGGACTTAAAGGTTGATTTATCCAATTAGAAACAGTTCAGATTAAAACAAACTGTGTTTATCCCTGAGGAAACATGGTAAAATACAAAATAAAATTAATTAAAATTAATAGAATTCTACAGAAGAGGACTAAATAAAAAGATTATTAAGAGTTATTTGCATAAATAATAAAAGAAAGTAGAAAATCCAACATTAAAGTAGTGCAACGAGCAGAATAAAGTGACAACATTAAATAAATGAAAGGTTTTAATGTKTGGATGGACACCAGAGGGAGGAGAAACATCTGCAGAAACACAACCTTCACAACCATTYCTACACAAATTTAGGTCACAAACTCACAAATAAAATGTTTAAACTAAAATTCTTGGAAACAATTAGAGACTTTTTATTGGATGGTAAACACACCAAACCAAAAACTGTGAAACAATTTCTCTAAAACGGGAAAAAAAAAATCACATAATCTGATCAACAGATTATTATAATCTGATCAACAAGATTATTATAATCTGATGATGAAAGGCTGAAACACAACAGTGGATGGTCTTCACTGGTCTGGACATCACTACAAAGATTTATGAAGACCACACATCACTGTGCACTGTACCACCCACTCATGCTGATTAAAGCTCTATCAGACAAACTGCCCTGGGGTCAGACGAGTCCAAATCAAAAACTCTGTTTGGAAACAAGGACCACCTCCTCCGTATGGAGCAGGGGTCTGCAGCCTTTACGATCAGAGGAGCCATTTCTGCTCCTCGGCTCACTGATAAAATGTGTAAACAAGCTAAAACTGTGACTATCAACTGGTGGTCCGTGGGACTTTTCAAGGCCTTTTTATGAACCTTTACGGCCAGTGAAGGTGGCAATATAAAACAAATATATATAT